AACAAAATATTGACCTGGGTAGACATGGCAATCATCTTGGCTGACATCTATTTTATCTTCACACATAAGTCCAATATATGAACTATTTCCTTTCCCGGTATTGAAAGGAAACAGGCTTCAAAAGCCAAGCCAGGTTAGAGAAAGAAAGGGAGACAGTTCTGCTAAAATGATCCAACTATGCAAATCTGAGGGGATGCTTTTCCACACAGAAAAGAGTGAAGTGGTAAGCACAGTATAAGGAAAGAAGAGGTAGCCTTGAACTCTTCCTAAAACAAAATGGAGGAAGGCCTTAAGGAGGTTTGTTATGTTCATGAAATATCAGCAATGGTCACTTCAGATATTCTATAAGAAAAAGTAAATATTAGGGGCACCTAGGAGGCTCAGTCAGTTCTGTGTCTGACTCTTGATTTTGGCTCAGATCATGATCTCACGGTTTGTGAGATCAAGCCCTGCATCAGGCTCTGTGCTTAGGGCGGGAGCCTACTTGGGATTCTCTGTCTCCCTCTCTCTCTGCCCGTCTCTCTCTCTCTCTCTCTCTCTCTCTCTGCATCAGGCTCTGCACTGATGGCAGGAAGCCTGCTTGGGATTCTCTTGTCTCCTTCTCTCTCTGCCCATCCCCCCACTCTTTAAAAAATAAACAAACATTTAAAAAAGTAAATATTAAAACAAATTCCAAAACCCAAACACATTTTTTTCACCCCTACATATGTACATCACATGTCTTCACATAGATGCACAAACGTATATAACACATATTATTTTTTAAATGGCCACTTAACATTTTTACCACGACTAAATCCCTCAATTAGTAGAAAGAGTTATAAGCTCACTGTATAATTCTAGTTGTATGCAGATTTGAATAAGTAAGCTATATAAATAATAATAAAATACTTCAAGACTTACTTCTGCTAGTCTTTGCTCATTACAGTATAAGATGACAATATTTTGATAATCTTTTATTTCAGTGGAAAAAAGGTTAACATGTTATTCCAGTTTTTAAAATATTTTCTTTGATGTAACTATTTAATGTTTTTTTTTACTTAAAAACTTTTTTTAATGTTTTTATTTATTTTTGAGACAGAAAAACAAAGCATGAACAGGGGAGGGGCAGAGAGAGAGGGAAACACAGAATCTGAAGCAGGCTCCAGGCTCTGAGCTGTCAGCACAGAACCCGACGCGGGGCTCGAAGTCACAGAGTGTGAGCTCATGACATGAGCCGAAGTTGGACGATTAACCGACTGAGCCACCCAGGAGCCCCAATATTTAATATGTTTTTAAGTTTATTTGAGAGTGTGCATGTGGGGGAAGGACAGAGAAGAGGGAGAGAAAGAATCCCAAGCAGGATCCTCGCTGTTAGTGTGGAGCCCGAGTGGGGCTGGATCCCACTAATTATGAGATCATGACCTGAGCTGAAACCAAGAATTAGACACTTAACTGAATGAACCACCCAGGTGCCCCTAACATGTTATATCATATGAAAATTTAGTGGGAAATAGAAATCACACAGACCTTACTACTGAATCTTGCTTTAGTAAGCTATATTAGCTGGCTATTTTAATACTTGCCTAGTCAACAGAAATGTTAATTTTTGAAATTTTATTACTTTTAAAATGTTGTTGTAACAGCCATGATAGTTACTTAAAATTTTTCTTTAAGACTATCTTAATGGGGAAAAGAAGGAAATACATTATTTATGCGTAACTGAGAATAGGCAACACTATTCAAACCATCTTAAAACATTTAAACAGTTTAACACTGTTAATGATAAACTGTTAGTGAGTCATGGCATTTGTTGCATGGTGTTGTGGAAATTCTTTAGACTAAACCTAAGACTAATATTTTTCTAATTCTTGTCTCCTGATATAAATTACAACTTTACCATATCTGACATAACAAGCCTTTCATTTTTCAGCACCACTTCCTACATACCTCCTTGCAAAGTGTTTTTAAAATGTGGACACTGGGGCAGAACATTAAACAAGAAACAAGTTCTCACCTTCAAGGTATTCACACTGCACCTTAAATACCCTTAAATAAAGGCACCAAGAGCCTCTGAAACCAAATTTTCTTCCTGGATTGCAGCTGAATGGTGTAATGATTAAATTCCAGGGTAGTGTAACCAATGCATAAGAGTTGGGGAAAGTCTGTTACAGGAGTGCTTTTCTTTTCGAATTTAAATGTTTTCCAGTGTTATATAACTTGTTACCTAAAGGTGTGATTTGGGGAGAGAGGGTGATTCATAGGAAACACAGAAGAAAACTAAGGCTACCAGAGAGATCACAATGGGAGTACAAAAGACAGTGGTTTATCCTTAGAAAGAGACCTTAAAGCATAAATGTGTTCACACCCTTTATAAGAGATTACCCTGTCATATTTTCCCTGACAACTAGGATCCTGACCAAGGGAGGAAAAGCTGAATTTTAGGGGAAAATCTGTAGGATTTTTACCTTTTTATATACAGAAGATTCCTTAAGCTCTAACTTATTCCCCCCAGAGAATCTTAAAATGCCAGTAAATACACTAAAGAAAGGTACAAAACTAGTGATCAAGACATTATATAACCTACATACAACTTATTTCATAACCTAAATCTAGAAGAATCTTACTTTTCAACTATTCAGTACAGCATATGTTTAAAACCTACGGATAACTTGCCTCCATTTTCCACTTTAAGTTTTATTTAGTTACAATCAGAAAATCTTTTAAGAAGCTGCTACAAACAGCTTAAACAGTCTCATATGTATCAAGTCAAAGTACTTTCCAAATACCAGTTCTCATCATATAAGTGAAGAACTTCATAAAAGTTTATATAAAATAATAATAGTAGTAGTAGCTGTTGTTATTTTGTTAGCCTTAAACAGCACAAAGTGACCTGGGAATTCATTATGGTCAAATAGGAAATGTAAAATCTATAAATGACACAGGATCACTACATCTATGAACAATTATTATTTTCTAATTTTCTTGTTTCCCTATGAATAGATTCACTTTAATTCGATAGACTTACTTCATATCATTCATTTCATACAATAGAACACAGGAAGGTATCAAAAAAGCAATCACCTCTAGAAAACACTGCAGTTGATTTTCTTATCAACTTAACTAAATGAAGAGTTAATTTTTTTTTAAATATCCAGCATGCACTTTATTGATTTTTTTAATAAAGGCATAAAAGTCCAAAGAGGAAACAGTATCCATCCCACATAATTACTCAACTTGCCAATGCACGCACAGCCAGCCGTTTGCCAAGCCCGTGATTCAGTGGCCGAGCACAATAGCAGCTCATAGTATTCACATTTACAAATCCACGTAAGTGACCTGTTATCTTTCACCAGCTTATATTCTTTTCATAGCACAATGGTTATTTGTGATTCATGTTCAGAGAACCTACTTCTACACTGCAGCATGATATTAAACTCACATGGGCACCCACACATTCTTCCCAGATTTAACCAGTGTTTTGTTAGTCAGCTTTCATGCTTTTTACCAAGTGTTTAGGAAATAAGCTCTTGTACACCAGATATTTAAGACCTGTAAAAGGTAAGAGTCTATATTTCACAACTACCTATAATCAATTAAAATCTAAAAAGAAGACAAACAGTAGGAAATGCCAGTTAAAAATAGCAGATTTCTTCAGAAAAACAAAGTGATTAAGGATACCTTTTGGGTATACATAAGCACTTATTGATAGCATTAAAACCAGCATAGTTTTTTAAATATTCGTATTAACTTTTTAGATTTATTACTTCAAGTGGGTGATACAGAGAGATATTTTGATATATCTGGTTCTTGCAGAAATAATGCCAAACTGACATCTGATTCACCAGCTATCTTTGTGCAGGCCAATATAAAGAAAAATAGAAGAATACTAATACACATTAATATTTTAAAGCCCTCCAAATAGTCACAGATATCTGGTAACATAAGGACTTTAGCAATACCAAGTCAGAAAAAAAAAAAAAAAGCCAGTGGCTATATTTAAGTTTTAAAAAGGAGAAAACAGGGGTGCCTGGGTGGCGCAGTCGGTTAAGCATCCGACTTCAGCCAGGTCACGATCTCGCGGTCCGTGAGTTCGAGCCCCGCGTCGGGCTCTGGGCTGATGGCTCGGAGCCTGGGGCCTGTTTCCGATTCTGTGTCTCCCTCTCTCTCTGCCCCTCCCCCGTTCATGCTCTGTCTCTCTCTGTCCCAAAAATAAATAAACGTTGAAAAAAAAAAAAAAAAGGAGAAAACATGAAATGGTATACCATAACTATTACATAAAATTTATACTATTCTGGTTTACGTATATCTATTATTTCCAAATATCTATTTGGGGCTTGTTGGTATATCTAGATTGACTAAAAAATAATTGATTGTGAAGAAACCTATCTAATGTAAAAGGAATGTAAAATCACTAATTTACAAATGTGTAATGTAGAAAAATAATTTTAGATCTAAAATTTATTATGCATTACTGCCTGAGATTTGCTGTGAGTATCCTCTATCAGCTCAGGCTTGGAAGTCTGATGAAGTCTCTGAGCAAGACTCCTCCACTGCTCCGGTCTACTTAAATGTAATCACATATGTACATGTAATTGTACGGGAATTGAATAGAGAAGAAATACTGAATCTAGTTATACAAGAATCTATCCCTAGCTCTGGCTGTTAAGTCATAAACGCATCTAGAAAGACGGGCAAATACCAACAGCTACACAATCGTAAAAATTTTAAGTGAAAATTCAAGTGAAATTGAATTAAGTGAAAAAATTAAGTGAAATTAAGTGAAATTGGGGTCATCCGCCTTTCTTAAATTTTATGAATCCAAACAGACACACTAATACAAACACACACGTAATTATTTTTGTTAATGAATAAGATAACCTATCACAAGCATGAGCCCTGAATGAATCTGGAGTTGGTCTTGATACACTGGGAACTGGATGTTTAGGTTTCTGCTCACCAGTAAGTCATTACTCCCAATCTTGTCTACTTGTCAGGCTACCACAGATCCTGGCACTCACCAGTACAATGGAGTATGCATACAGCGCTGTACAATGATGGATTATAAAATATTTGTCACCAATCACTTTCCAATACAAAATGAGAATCAACAAATCTGAAAGAAGGAAACATAAGTGAGATATCACATAGGAAGAAAGCTGTCCTGTTTCTCAAGTGTATTTAACTCTGTCTTCCTGACAACTGGTCACAGTCCACCCTGAGCCCACCCCACTTTGTTCATATTGCACCAGTCCCAATACCCACTTTATTGTAAAGTATCTGTTTCCGTACAGCTGTTTCCCCCACTCTACTGTGACTGCTCCAGGACGAAGAACAAGCGTGGGAGTCTAACACAATGCCTATATAGTTAATACTTATTTGCTGAATATATTCACAGGTTACATATTTGTTGAAAGTATAAATAAATAACTTGTTTCTGGGGTTAAATAAAATGGAAGTACTATTGAATAAAAACAACTTTTAAGTAAGCTTAAATTACTGATGTTTGTTACTACAACAATTCCAACAGGTAAGCTGGTTGCAGAAAAGGTACATAACGACCAACTCGTTTATAAGACAAATTCAACAAACAACCTTTAAAAATTAAAGGATGTGATTAAATATTAATTCAAAACAGCTAAAAAAAAGGAAAAAACAAAACAAGAACTATGACTATTAAAAAGATATGCAAAGAAAGACATCAAGGCAATTTCTCTTTAAAAGATCCTGAACCTAAACACCACGATTCAGAAAATGGTTTCCTTTAACAAAACAATGTTTAACAAAACAGAAACTTCTCAAAAATGTAAATGCAATTATTTTCTTTACCAAATGGTTAAACGTGAAATTTAGACATGGAAGAAATGGCCATCATAGATGGAAACCAGGGGAGGATTCAGGTTTAATGGGTTGAAGCTTATATAATATGGGAACCTTTTTTCACAAAAAATAAAAATTACTGATGTGAATATGTATAAAAAGAAAAAATCAGATTAGAAATTTTAAAGGGAAATTTTAAAGGGAAAATAAACAGCACAAATGTGCAAATCATATTAGTAATTAACTGCATGATATACCTCTCTGGATACATCTTCTCTATATACTTTGGCTGTATAGTCTTTGTTCACCAATTTATATGATAATGACCTTGTAATATTTTCCATAGAGAGTTCGCTTTTCATTTAGCTTGGTTTAAAAAAGTTTGTTTCAGTTCATAATTCATAAGTGCTTCAGATTATTATCTTATTTGGAGAAAACTTTATCAAGTTTCCTTCATATAAGACTTTTTGGGTACTGATTACTCTCTGAACTGACAACGCTCATCAACCAGTGCATGAGGCAAACGTATTATAAATTTTGTGTCATCTTTGTCAATGACAGCACATTCTGTGCCAAACAAGCAAATCTTTTTCTAATGTGTTCACATGATTCACTCTTCTTTTAATTGGGCCATCAAATAACTCAACAGCTTACTCATTATTTTAATTCAAAATTTATCTCTTCCTCATAATGAATGTGTTTGGGTATAATAATCTAATTTTTTCCTTACAATTCACTTCTTGATGGCAGAAAATTTTCTACTGAGTCCCATCACTCATCGTATCACTTCTGTTTCATATCTCCTTATTTTTATTTAGATTCTCTGTCAGCTATTTATTAAATTTGAAAATTATAAAACAGGCCTCTCTATAAAATGTCCAAATCAGGGAACTGTTCTTTCTTTTGGCTTATTGAGATGGTCTACAACATCTTTGCAAAGAGTTCAAATGGCATACCGTCACTTAATTTCCCCCTTTGTCTCATAATGTAAAAGGCTATTCCAACTCCATCTCACACAAGGGGAAATATGACAGAAGGAAACATGGTGTAGGAAGAATTCTTGATCTTAACTGATTATGATTATTTCCCTTTGCAATCTTTACCCAAACACTACAAACCATGAGCATAGGAACACGTTTCAAGGGCCGTTACAAGTGAGAGACTTTGATGCTTAGCTTCGTGAGTTTTCCAGGAATTCCACCTAAGAGACTCTTTAAGCCAAAAATGGACCATTGCTAGTACAA